TCTATTATAAAATTTTTCAAACAGGCATTTTTTCTCCTTCACTGATGTGCGTTGATGAGGCAGCACTAAAGGGCGCACTGATGATAGGCAGTACTAATGAGGTGTCACAGATAGGCGGCACTAATATGCAGCACTGATAGGCAGCACTGATAGGCGACACTGATGATGGGTACTGATAGACGGCACTGACTGGCATCACTGCTGGGCACTGACTGGCACAACCCCTGGGCACTGACGGCAGCACTGGTGGGCAGCACTGGTGGGTGGGCACAGGTGGGCGGCACTGCTGGGCACATGTAGGTGGCACTTCTGGGCACAGGTAGGTGGCACTGCAGAGTGCCACAGGTGGGTGCACTGCTGGGCACAGGTGGGCGGAGCTAGTGGGCGCACTGCTGGGCACAGGTGGGCGGAACTTGCATGGTGGCAGTGCTGGGCACCGATCATCAGGGCACTGATCATCAGTGCCCTGATGATCGGTGCCGATCCCCGCTCTGACAACTGCCGGTTCTCGGCAGTACTTTCCTCACGATCTGAAAGCGTGAGGAAAGTGCAGCCGAGAACCGGCACTTGCATTTCCCTCTGATCAGCGTGTCATTGGACACCGCTGATCAGGTGGTAAAAGGCCGCTGTGATTGTCCGTAGGACACAGCGATCACGGAGATCGCCGGGTGCGCGCCCCCAGAGCGCGTTCTGGGGGGACGTCATATGACGTCCACCCAGAACTGGCCGGCCGCAGTGAAGCCGTCATTCGGCTATCTGCGGTCGGCAGGTAGTTAAGAGACACGTACTCACAAACCCAAGCAGCTGGTGTTTATGAGGATCACTGATGCTGACCAAATCACTGAGCAGCCAGTGAATGAGACTAAACAATTATCCATGAGGTACTTCAGAAGCAGAAGGATGGTGCTTTCTTAAGGCTGAACAGCTTTTATTTACCATCTCCAGTGGAGATGGAAAGCCATTTTCTTGCCTTGTCTTTTGTTACCCTGGCAGCCAGCGCTCACCTCTTTCCTCTGACTCTACGGGTTGAGGACAGGCCCCCTCGGCATCCTCACAATGTAGGACTGCTATCTTGCATTGTGTGCCAGGACATCAAAAATTGTGCCTTTAACTGAAGCACCAAAGAAGCTGCTTCTAGAAGCTGGCATGAGCCCTTTAAAGCAGTTTTACTTGCCAACTCCATCTCCATCTAGCCTGTAAAGCAGGGGTGTCAAACTGGCAGCCCTCCAGCTTTTGCAAATCCACAAATCCCATCATGCCTTTGGGAGCCATGCTTGTAACTGTCAATCTTGCAATGCCTCATGGGACTTGTAGTTTGGCAACAGCTGGAGGGCTGCCAGTTTGACACCTGTGCTGTAAAGCATTGCACCTGAATATGGGTGTAACTTGTTACTTATCCTTTAAATGGTACCCTAGACAAAACAAGAGCATTACCCTCACATTGCAGGGGTGCCACAATACAAGAGTAACTTTGGAATTCCTCCAGAGTCCAGTTATTACTCTGCAGTGTAACTGTAGGCAAACCAAATACACTTTTACTGCTTTCTTACCCAAAGGATGTGCAATTCAGCCAGCAATTCCTGCGACATCTTGAAGATTGCTACATTCTTTAGAACACTGCCTCCTGGGTCAGCTCTTGACAGAGCACAATGCCATTTCACTGTCCAAGGAACAGGCTGGAGGCAGAGAGGTAACAAAGCTGAAATGCTGAACCAGCCAGACAAATCCTTCGGCAGGCAAAATGGTAAACGTGTATTTAAACTGCGTCCTTTGTGCCTTGCATGGAGTTTTAGTTGTTTTTAAAACTGTATATATAGATTTTAACTATACCTGAGGGCCATGTACCACATTTATTACATCTGCAGGCTCTGTCACATGCTTAGCAGTGCTCCCAATTATAGTGTATGGGTCTAGTCAGACGTGGTAAGATTCCATGAAGCTTTTGGAGGAGAGCAACATTCTATTTCGGTACCATTTCATTAGCGGACAGAATGATAGCATGGAACAAAATTTTCAACACAGGTCTGACACCCAGTTTTAAATACTATCACGCAATCAAAATTAATTACAGCTTAAAAAGACCCCTTGAACCAGCTTTATGGTAGTTTTCACCAACACAGAGAAGCAAAAATTGGTCATTTCTCAAGGAAACCCAAGCAGCCTTTGGGAGGAACCTTAACCAGGGTTCTGGTTAAGAACCCTCCAAAGGTTAAGAAACCCTTATTTATGCAAGCGATTTTCATTTTAGCACTGGTGGCAGGTAGACCTGCTGCATTCACACAATGTTTGAATTGTGCAGATACTGAAAACCCTTATGCTTACACTTTCTAACTTGCAAGTAAACCAAAAGGATATAGCAGCTGACCAGTCCTTAGATGTGGTGGTTGCATTAGTTTTTAAGCGAAGAATATTTTCAGATACAAAAGACATCCAATAAATATCAGTTCCCTTTACACTTGCTGTCAGCTAGACAGAAACAAAGAATCATATGTAAACTACCAACCCCACCATCCCCTTATGCAACTGAGACAAGGGTGAATAGGTCTGAAGTTTAGTCTGGGTGGTGACCATAGCTCTAGTGCAGTGGTCTCCAAACTGTGGCCCTTTGCTAGCCTTTATCCAGCCCTTGGGGCACCACTCCTCCCACTGATTCCAATGGCGGGTCACCATTCCTCCCACTGATACCAATGGCGGGTCACCATTCCTCCCACTGATACCAATGGCGGGTCACCATTCCTCCCACTGATACCAATGGCGGGTCACCATTCGTCCCACTGATACCAATGGCGGGTCACCATTCGTCCCACTGATACCAATGGCGGGTCACCATTCGTCCCACTGATACCAATGGCGGGTCACCATTCGTCCCACTGATACCAATGGCGGGTCACCATTCGTCCCACTGATACCAATGGCGGGTCACCATTCGTCCCACTGATACCAATGGCGGGTCACCATTCGTCCCACTGATACCAATGGCGGGTCACCATTCGTCCCACTGATACCAATGGCGGGTCACCATTCGTCCCACTGATACCAATGGCGGGTCACCATTCGTCCCACTGATACCAATGGCGGGTCACCATTCGTCCCACTGATACCAATGGCGGGTCACCATTCGTCCCACTGATACCAATGGCGGGTCACCATTCGTCCCACTGATACCAATGGCGGGTCACCATTCGTCCCACTGATACCAATGGCGGGTCACCATTCGTCCCACTGATACCAATGGCGGGTCACCATTCGTCCCACTGATACCAATGGCGGGTCACCATTCGTCCCACTGATACCAATGGCGGGTCACCATTCGTCCCACTGATACCAATGGCGGGTCACCATTCGTCCCACTGATACCAATGGCGGGTCACCATTCGTCCCACTGATACCAATGGCGGGTCACCATTCGTCCCACTGATACCAATGGCGGGTCACCATTCGTCCCACTGATACCAATGGCGGGTCACCATTCGTCCCACTGATACCAATGGCGGGTCACCATTCGTCCCACTGATACCAATGGCGGGTCACCATTCGTCCCACTGATACCAATGGCGGGTCACCATTCGTCCCACTGATACCAATGGCGGGTCACCATTCGTCCCACTGATACCAATGGCGGGTCACCATTCCTCCCACTGATAACAAGGTGCTATTTCTTCTTCCACTGATACAAATGATGGGGGGTACGGTTTCTACCAGTAATACCACTGATAGCGCCTGTGGTCAGTAGGAGGAGGAATAGTGGCCTATGTAACTGACTACCAACCCTGTGGAAATGTTTATTCTCACTAATGTTGGGCCAGGGACATTTTCTACGCCCACTGGCCACAATCTGGCCCCCATAAAGTCTGAAGGACAATAAACTGGCCCTTTGTAAAGTTTTGGAGACCCCTGCTCTAATGAATGGGCCACCCAGAGAGATGTTTTTACAGAATTACCAGATAAGAAAATAAATGCAGCCACTACATCAAGGGACAAATAAGTTGCAATATATTACATTTTGGTTTTTAGGTTCAGATACACGTTGTTAAGGATTTTTGGGCCCTTATACTATCAAGGCACAAATAACTGTAGCCTATGCTTTGCAATGTTTATTGAATCTGTCGAAGTGCCTGAATGTAATATATGGCAACCACACGGTTGATTTTTACTAAGATCAGACTGAATATTTCTTGGTTGCCAGAGAACATGGAGTACCATGTAGTTAACAAGGAGAACCTGTAGTTTGGGGTTACAAACCAAAGAATGTATTTTGTGCACAGCTATGACTTTTCAAGCAGTATATCTATGTGGGAACTAGTAATACTTGTGCTCCGCTTAATGGAATTTCTCTAATGATTCAGTCTGAATAGAAACCTTGTGCAAATCTGTTACACCAGATAGGGCCTGTGTGAATGATTGTAGTACTTTCTTAAATGCCTAGATTTTTATCTAATATAGTAGTATTGGGCTTAATGAAACCGGCAAATTAAGTGCAAAATTTTAGGGCTATGTAATCGCACCTGTGTCAACCTGGCTTGGCTTGTGGTAATGATTCGGAAAAAAAAAAAAATATGAGTCTGGCTTCTATGGGTTAACTGCCTAAAGCCATTGCACTGTAAACATGCCAGTTTCTAAGCATTTTCAAAAGTCAAACATTTTCCAATAAAAAGTTGTCAAAACCTGAACATAAAGCCAGTACAGAGGCAAGATGTAAAATGACCCTTCTACATAAAAGAAAAACTAAAACACTGTCAGCAAACCAATGTTGCTTTATTGAAATACAGTGAATGCTAATAGCCAACACTACTGGCAAGGTTACAGATTGACAAAAAGGCAAAAAACTACCTTTTTACTTATAAGCCCCAAATATTGCAAACTAACCCACCATCTAGGTGGTACAACTTATGCGTAGCATACTGGGACCTTGATGCAGCAAAATACACAGTCAAATTCAATGAAAAAAAAAAAAAAAATGTGTAGGTGTTTTAACAGTTTGAACTAGTCAAACAGGCTACTCAATAAGGAGAGAAACGCTGCTTTTCCGATTTCACTTTAGTATACAGCTGGGTAGCAGAGGCAGGAACAGCAGAGGATGAGGTAGAGGAGGCGGTGGATACAACATTTAGAGCCAGGAGCGGGACGGGTTTCATGTCAAGCAGATTGGAGACACAAGGGACAGTCGAGGGATTAGGGAGGCTGGAAGGTGTTTCCGAGGAAGAGGAGTTGGAGGAAAGGATCACCCCCCCCGGCCGCGGAGGTGTTCACCAGAGAAGGGGCAGCGTTGGAAGAGGAAGGGGTGGAGGATTGAGAGATGCTGAGAAGGTCAGGGGTCGTGACGCTCTGGGAGGAGGAAGGTTTAGCGGTTTCTAGACTGTAACAGAGGAGAAAAGAAAAGGGAACAAAAACAAAAACGGGTGGGTGGGAGGGTAGGTACAAACGGAGGAGTACAGGAGGATAACAATGGAAGCGGAGAGCAAGCAGAACTATATCAAGCACAAAGTCTACCACTATAGTAACAAATGCAACCCAACTAGTGTCATTTGTTTTATAACCACCAAAAAGTGGTCAGGCAGATTAGGCATGAAGATTAGTTTCCCCTTCAAATTGACATTTACAGTGCAGGCTTAGGAAATGTAGAGAAGCACTGCAGTGTAGTACAAGAAATTTAGTAAAGATGTACCCAAGTATCTATTCCTTGAAAGCCATTTCCAGTGTTAATGGAAAGTAGCCAAACTGCTTTGGACCCCTATAGCTTGAGGCATGACTTCTCCCACAACTCTATGTAAAATTTATTAGCTGGAAGGTGTAAATGTAAAACTGCAATATCAAAAGCTTCGTGGAAGTGGAGCCACTCAAAAAAAAAAAAAAAAAAAAGTCAAATTACAATTCTCTTTTAACAAAAGGGGCACTAGCCTAATTTAATTTGATTTGAAGAGGAACAAGGCAATTGTCTGAAATGTAAATTCCAAAAACCCATTTGTCAAAAGTTACCCAAAAGCATAAACCCAACACCCCAAGCACTGAAAATGTATTTATAGCAGGGCTTGTCAAAGCAAAGCTTTGATTTATAAACCACTGGCTTTCCCTTACAATGCAACATGGAGTATAATAAAACTAGATTCTGAAATGGCCTCCATAAGTGTTGCACTGTCAAGTTTTATTTGGTCAATGGCTGGTAAAGGTTTATTACAGACTACGGGGTTGACTATATTGGAAACCTATTCTAATAAATACTGCGCTTTACAAATGGGCACCCAACAGTTTAAAAAACGGGACCTCAAAAATGCGTGCAAGATTAAACAGTTTAAAGAAAAAAAAACAAACCAGGTCAACAACCAATTCATTAAAATCCCAAATATACACAGGTAATGTTTTCCCTGTGAGCTCTCCATTTCTTGTGTTCAGTATTGATTTGCCTTCCAGTATTCTCTAGCATATAAACCTGGGGTAGCTCTTTTGGAATGCAATATATACACAAAAGACTAATTAACAAAATGGAAATTTTATACACACCAAAAGTGCCAAGACTTTCATGGAAGGCAAATCTAGAGACTGTAGACCTTGTAATATTTGTACAGCATAATGCCTGTAAACATGCAGATAGCCCATTCATTATATGGATCATTAAAAACACAAGTAGCCAAAGAATCATGGCTTCCAGATCGTGCACATTTGGAAGAACCAAATAATAGATCTGGAAAACAGGCAGTGACTGGGAAAAACACTTGGAAATTGCTTTATATTTTGAAATTACTTGTTCTGTTAACAAGATTTCAAGGTCTTACCTGACATTGATAAGGTACTGGGCCAAACTAATGCTGGCTGTGGACCCAGTAATTGTAACCTGACGATCAGTGGAGCCTTCAACAGGGTTAGCAATCTTAATCTGTGCCCCCGACATCTGGCGAATCTCATTTATTTTAGCTCCTTGACGTCCAATGATACAACCGATCAACTAAAAAAAAAAAACAAAAAAAAAAAAAAAACCTTATATACACACACAGGATAAAATACAGGGTATAGATTTCAATAAAATCATAACTATTCATCATCTCACTTTTAAACAAACATTTTGTTTATCTCATAAAATGTGCATTTTGAAGGGTTTAAGAAACAGAGCTATAATTAGAATTTTGCAATAAGCTCAAAATGAAGTCAGGAGCTCTGATCCATTTATCTTTGTTCACAGATTCTGAAGGCACAGATATTCAATTTAAAGTGGTTCTAAAGGCTCAAGGTTTTTTACCTTCATGCAGTCTATGCAGGAAGGTAAAAAAAAAACCTGTGTGCAGCATCCCCCCAGACCCCTAATGCTCACTTAAGCACCCCCTCTCGATCCAGCAATGTGCACTGAAGTCTCAGCTATCCCAAGACTCGCTCTCCTCATTGGCTGAGACAAAAGTGGGAGCCACTGGCTCCCACTGCTGTCAATTACAGCCATTGAGCCAATAAGAAGAGGGCAGGCAGAGCCGCGGCTCTGTATGTGAATGGACACAGAGCACCAGGTGCCACCATAGCAAGCTACTTGCTGTGGGGGCACCCGACAGGAGGGAGGGGCCAGGAGAGCCTGCGGGGGACCTGAGAAGAGAAGGATCCAGGCTGCTCTGTGCACAACCACTGCACAGAGTAGCTAAGTATAGACATGTTTATTTCTTTAAAAAAAAATAAGCCTTTAAACACCACTAAGTATAACGGAAGGGGGCAGCACAGTGGCTTAGTGGTTAGCACGTCTGCCGTGCAGTAAATGGGTCATGTGTTCAATTCCCAACCATGGCGCCTCCTGCATGGAGTTTGCATGTTGTCCCTGTGCTTGCGTGGGTTTCCTCCAGGTATCCAGTTTCCTCCCACACTCCAAAGACATGCTGGTAGGTTAATTGGCTCCTGTCCAAATTGTCCTAGTTTCATCCCTGGCCATGCAGGATCTCCTGCATGGTAGGGGTAAGACCTGGCAACCTACCCTGTAAAATAATTGCTAAGAGAATTTATGGAGGAAGTCGCTTACAAGTGACGGTCTATGCAATCGCCAAGGGTCGGGGATATGACTGAATGGATAGATAGATAACTGAAAGAAGCCTTTTTAGTGTTGGACAGAGCAGAGATAAATTGAACACCTGTCAGTTCCTATTCTTGTCTGTGCCACAGTTAGGGAGATTCACCTCTATTTGTCCTGTTTACCGTTCTCAAAAAAATGAAAGTAAAAAATTCACAAAACCGTAAAAGAGGGGAATATTCCAGTGGGGACACCAGTTCTGGTTACCCGAGAGGCCCAATGAATTCCCCTGATTTGCAGTGATGTTTGAGCTATGGGACAGGAAATGAAGGTAAAGTTCCCAAATGGAACAAGGAAAAAAACCTGACATTGCTTATAGACACCCCCCCTCCCAAAAAAAAAAAAAAAATACCTTAAAATTTACTCTGTAAAGCTCTATTAGGCTTGTTAAATTCTTCTAAACACAACCAAGCTGTTTACAGTCTAAGCAGCAGAGTACTGACTGCACCAGTCACTTCTCCTATAAAAGTCATATATTGAGTACATATCTACCACTACTTTTGGTCCAAGCATAAAAATAATATATGCCTAGCCCATAAAATAGAGTGGGTGACAAATTGAAGACCCCATCAAGGGATTCTTACAGGGAATAGGTCAAACTGACTACACCTCTGGCCTTTGAATGGAATTTGAGACTAAGATATAGCTGCTCTGGCATTACAAATAGGTTTTTCTTCAAACTAAATGGCACCAGTGTTTCTCTTACAATATGGGGGATAGTTTTGAATGACTACTGTTGACCTTAAGTCCACATAAGTATATACACTTACATCATTTGGAATGGTGAGTTCGTGGGAAGTTGTCTGAGCTGAAGCATCAATACCTCCTGCGAATAAAAAGTAGATTGAAGTATTAAATCTTAGCTAAAAACCACCTGTCCTGTACAAAAGATACTCTGATTTAAGTTGTGAACACGGAGCTCAGCTATGAATAAATCTAAACTGTGGCTTTAAAGGATAAAACTGACATTTTCTGACCACTCAAGTTCTCAATAAGTGGTTTATGTCTGAGGGTGACTCTCTAGACCTGGGATTGGGTTATCTGCTCAATGGAGTAAGCTAGCAAGGTTGAAGTTTTTCCTTTGATGTGGTAAAATACTGTTTTCACAAACTAAATCAATACAATTTATGCTGGATATGCAAAAAAGCACCAACCCCCTGCCACAGTGAAGAACAAAACAAAAACCTGTTTAATAAATCTGTACTTAGAATATTGTTCTCTCCCCCCATTCCCTTTGAGTGCAGCAGCTGACAGGCTGGAAAAAAAGCAAAGCCAGCAGTGAGCAGAGTGGCTAAAAAACACAAAAAAAAAAAAAAAAAAAAAAAAAAAAAAAAAAACACAGAACACAAGCAAATACTCCTTACCACTGAATCCGGTGTTGCCACTATGGGACATAGGGAAGTGAGATTGCTGCATTGCCAGTTGGTGTAACTTGGTCAGCTAAGAAGAAAAAAAAAAAAAAAACGCAGGTCTACAGGAATGCAAGGCAATTGGATATTAACTAAAAAGGCAGATGTGAACAGATTGCTTAGCTCAGTGTCCAGCTAAAAGACCACAAAGTAGTATTAGTGCTGTGATAAGAGTACACTCTGCATAGAATTTCTGAAACCATGCCAGTCACTGTTCTAAGAGGATACAGCTAAAAGCATACTTCCTGCCATTTAGTGCAAAAGCAGATACAAGGCAAGGTGCTCTTCTTAAAATGTGAATTGGATTCTTAAATACCCAGAATTACAGCCCTCACAGCATTGCATAAGAGGCAAAAGCACACTTACATCAGGCTGAGGAATGGCATACTGTCCTTGAATGGTGTAGGCCTACAAAAAAGCAAAAGTAGTCCAATTAAATGCATGTGACAGCCAGCAAGACCAACACGTGAAAGCCAGTACTAACTAGACAAGACCAAAAAAAAGAAGATGTAAGCAAAGCAGATTTAGAAGACCAACTAGCATTAGCTGTTTAGGGTACAGCAATACAGCATATTTAAAAAGGTGTTCCCTACTCATGAAAGCCTAAGAGTGATAAATCTTGGCTACAGCCAATATAGTGCAGCGTTTTCTAGGCCCATGTAGGGCTGCCAAAGCATTGAGAATTGCACATGATCTGTGATAAAAAAAAATTTGGCATCTAATAACTTGTATTTTCATAATTCATTTTAATAAGTCTGCAACTATTCATTTTAGAAGCAGCTTATAAACAAAACAAAAAAAAAAATCTGAACACTTAAACAAAAAAGTCTAGTATAGAGTAAAATGTCAGGACCTACCCCATGGAGATCCACAGCATCTAGGGAGACTCCCCCTGTGTGGGACCTTCGCCCCTCCCACAGGTCAGTCTCACATGCGTGCCCTCCGGCCTGGCGCGACACCTGTTGAACAAAGCGAAAATGGGATTCAGTTATCTCTGATAAAAGTCACAGCCTCAGTCCTCAGACATCATAACCCCAGCCACCACATCCACTATAAACATTGGAAAGGATGAGTCGGGTCATGGATCCAAAATGAGGCCACAAGTTTAAGCTATTCCTTAACTTCACTCATATCTATCTCAGTGTATACTTATATTTAAAATGCATCTTAAACAAAAACAGCAACAAGAATTTCAGGCTGTGTGTTGATAAAGGATGTCTATGCCACAAGCAAATATCAGCATTTGAGAACTAGTTAGAACTTTTAACACTGATCTCTGAAAAGTAAAAAACAAGTTATTCCACCAACAGCGCACTGTCTGGCATAAAATTTAAGTCACATGACCTTTATTCTAAGTCTAATCATGAGCATCAACTTAATGCTAAATCCTTAATCCTTCAGTCAATACAAGCCTGAAAAATTAGAACATGTAAAGGATTAGCAGCACCTTAAAAAAAGGATTCATAGGTATATTAACAGAACTGAATAGTTTATCAGAACAAACTAACGGTTTACCCTGAGAATGGCACTGTGCATGCAAAAAACTGTGCATGCCTAAACCTATTACTGCCTAGGAGTAGTCTCCGTATCCTTTACCAATGCTGTGCAGCAGACAACACATGCTAAATAGATTTGTTACAGAATTGTGGCATGAAGTAAATCATAATGCAGCCATAACTGCACTTTAATAGAGCACCCTCATTGTTAAGCCAATATGGTGAGATTATGTGTCAGTCATTTTGGATCCATGATTACAACTCTTCAGTGAAATAAAAAAAAATGAAGACTTCATAAGGCAGGCGCTTCCATCAGAGACACTTAACACTTTGTTCAAAAAAGGTGACACAACAGGTACAACAAACAAGGAAGTTTATATACAACAGCCTGTTATGAACAGTTTAGCTCTGGGAGGAAAGTAAACCTGAATTAAAGCCAACCCCCAACATTTACAAGAAACAGGGCTCCTCTACAGTAGCTGTGGCATTAACACCAGCCATCAGCTTTAATAACTTCTGCAATTAGGAATCTTCTTTACAAATGTGCACTGGCATCACTTAAAATGTGTGACACCTACAGAACTATAGTATGTAAATATTTGGACCATTTTGATAGCTGGAAAAAAAAAGTTAAGATTTAACACTTTAAAAATGTTGCCTCTCCATTGCCTTGCTGACAGTCTAATAAGCAGCAAAGTAAAACACTGTAAATGGCCATGTGACTGCAAATCTCTAATTCATCTGTGTAAAAGACCAAAACAGCTGAATCAGAGAAGCAACGTCACCCACAGGCATAGCTGAAGGAGCTGGTCATCAGGGAGAGAAGTCTATGCTCACACGGTGCATAGAAAGATGGAGCTTTGTTAAAAAAAAAAAAAAAAAAAAAACACGGCAGTTCCAATTTTGCAGATAGTTTATCGCACACACAAGTTCAGTGCATACAATCAGCCAATTTGACAAGTTTGTGCCATGTAGTCTACATTTCAAGCCCTAAAACGGCACACGCTTGTGAGAAAACAAAAGTTGATACCCAAAATATACCATAGGCAACACTTTAAAAGCATTTACAGGCCATCAGTTTACAGTTAATCTTGAATAATGGTCCTAGAATTACTGCTCACTCAGGCATGCATAGCAATAGGCAAGGTGTGGCACAACAGACTTCAATGTACAAAGCCTCCTTCATGTGTGTTTACATACATGGCCGTGTATGTGGGGGCAAGCTCAAATTTTCTCTCAGAAGTGAAGGTTTAAGTGCTTGGAAGTGGCCATTTCTTCCACTCAATATTGCCATCAGAGACTAATAGCCACCTATATGATCTAATTTTTACAGTGAAAAGCTATCTTTAGCCTGGGTTCACATATGTGCGGTATATCGCATATGATTCGCACAGGAACTGCACAGCATTCCTGTGCAAATCACATGCGATTTGTGTGCGGTGCAATTGGAGCCATACATTTTGTATGGCTCTATTCGAACCGCACCAAAAACGTGCAGGACTCTTTTGGGTCCGTACTAGAATCGGATCGCATAGGTATTCACACCTATGCGATCCAATTCTGCACATCGCACCGCGTTTTGCGGACCACTTTCGGGGTGTTAACATACACACCCGCAGTAGTTCGCATGAACGGTGTGAGAATCTGTTGCGGTTGGTTCGGAATTCGCACTGAAAATACTGTGAATTCCGTACTGCATCAGTGTGAACCAGGGCTTAATGAGACAGGCCTCTGCTAGCTTCAGTGGAGTACCAGGGAGACAAAAGATCAAAAGTCATTAACTTCTTCCCTGGACAGCATCCAGGGAAAGAGACAGCAGAAACTAAAGTGATAAAAACCTCATCTCTTCTGGGTTCCTACTAGAGGACAATCCACTCCTTCCCTTTACATAGCAACACCCTGAATGAGCATCTCTGGCCTGCATGTGGGCTGTGTTGAAGGGATTGGGACCAATCAAATCCATTTGATGGCAGTAACAGTGTTAAAAAAGTTTAATTTTGTCCCCTTTATTTTCACATTCTCCCCCCCCCCCCCCTAGTATTTATGCTCATTTCTCTACCATCTATGGAAGCACCCATAGTTACCATCCAGACCTACACTTCAAATGTATCTGCTATTGGACAGCATTTGTGCTTCTAGGTTCATATAGAAAGTGATAAGGACACTTTTTCTGACCAGATCAATTCATTTTTGGTATTTGTTAAAGATGTTCTTAGCCCGATACATAAAGCCACTACCAAATCTAAGGATTAGTTGGCTGCAATGTATTAAGGGCCAATTCACACCAGCATGTTGCTCTACGTTTTAGCACAGCTGTAAAATGCAGAACAGAAAACATCTGAAAAAATTTCCAATGTGTCTTATTCACACCATAACAGTGCATTGACCTGTGCTAAAAAGCAAGGTGTGCACTTTAGCGCAACAGATTTCCGCACAGTGAACAGGATATCCTGAGAAAATGCAGTACGCTTTAACCCTTTGAGGACCGGAAGATTTTGGAACGCCAAAAGAATCAATTTTTTTTGTTTTTAAAGTCTGTACACTTCAGTTGCTATAACTAAGCCATTTCATGAAATAATTTGCAAAAAGCTCGATCCATTTGTTGTTTGTTGATAAGAACTAACATTTTGACTCAAACCAAAAAAAAAAAAAAAAAAAATTTTAAGTTCTTAATCAGATGATACACGCAATTAAAAACATGGGACAAATACGTCCCTTGGTCCTCAAAGGGTTAACGCATGCCAAAATGCATGTCAATGGATGTCAGCGTGTGTCAAATGGATAGAAATGCACACCCATTTTTCATACATTTTAGCATATGTCAGGGCCAAATCACACCAGTGCGTTGATCTAACGCAGATCAATAGAACATCTGAAAAAACTATTTCCAATGTGTCCTATTCACACTAATGCTGCTTTGACCTGCATTGCGCCAAAATACATTTTAGCACAACACAATGGATGTAAGCAAATAACCATGCACAAGATAATCTGTGAAAATGCATTATGCTTTAACACATATCAAAATGTCTGTCAAACGTCAGAGCGAGCTTTAGATGGATGGAAACGTACATCCATCTTCTATACATTTTAGCACAAGTCCGTCTGAATTGGCTCAAATTGTTGGTTCCTGGGTTTACTAATACTTTAAAGCTTTTAATCCTTTTGCCACCACGGAAGCATATACTGCATGCACAGCAATAGCACCTGACTGCTATAGCAGCCAGGTATTTGTATACCTTTACACAGTAAACTCAGTTTTTTTTTATGTAAAGATAAAGCCTGTAAATCCTCCTAGTCGCTTCTACGCTTACAGTAATATGCCACCTCCCTCCTGGTCTATGCTCAATCTGCTTCAAAAGAGTACAAGCAGCCTGTGATGTCTCCCTTTAAGAGAAATTGTAATCTAACTATGCATTCATTGGAAGCGTATCCGAACAAAAACAAAAAAATCACATTAATTCTAGGGCCAACATTCACTTAACTCTGAACGGATGACCAGTAAAGAGTTGCTGATGGATCATTTGACATTAGTTTTTCCATTTTACAGGCACATGCAACTTTAAGACTTGACAATTTATTTACTTGATGCAACTCCATCTTATATTTTGGATATCTATACTGTGTGCTTGCTGGCTCTAATTTGTGTATTTTTTACTAAAAAATATATAGATTTGATAAATGGAGGTAAAACCATATGAAAAATATAGCAAATGCCACCATTTTATTCTACAAGATCTGTTTTTAGGAAATCCGTTGGGGGGGGGTATTAATATCCAGGCCTAAAATGGGCAATTTTAATGAACAAGTTCACCTTTTGGAACATGTTACATTTTCCACTCTAAATATGGGTTGTATATGTAACATGCTCCAGCTTCTGCCACCAGTTCCCTCTCCCTGTGACAGCAAGCAGCATCACTCATTCACAGCAAATCTGAATGAGCGAACTACAAGTACCGACAACTGTTGCAGCTGATAGCTTGTAGCTCTCAATGAACTGCAAGCCATCAGCCTTTCTTGGAGGTACAGCCTTTCTTGGAGAACAGCCTTTCTTGGAGGTACTCGCTGAAAGCCGCAGGGCTTGTCCAACACTGCACCCCAATCCAGGTTCTTGCAGGAAAAGTAAATGCCTTTTTTTGCAAATATATGTGCATTTTTCTTAAAAAGGTGAACATGGCCTTTAACTTGTGTGCAAAAAAAAAAAAAAAAAAAAATGGTTAAAGGTTTTGAGTCATCCCTGGATAAGATTCATCCTTATCCCCTACAAGAAAAATGATACACAACTTTTTATCACAGATCATGTGTAGATCACACTACAGGAGTAGGGGGGAACAGAAAATCCACATTAAGTGTCTAGAAGACTTACCTGCCCACCTGCAAAAATAACCGGAGAACTGGAGGGTTTTGGCCGATATGGGATGGTGACCCCCTTTGGAGGAGACTAGAAGGCAAGATCGAATATACCATCAGAGCTGAATTAGATTTTTGGAATTAAAATTAACGCATGATTTGACAAAAAATAGTGGGCTTTAAAACTAAAGCGAAACATGGAATATCCACATACTATTGAGTATTAAGTGTCATTAAAGGATTTTTATATTAATTTTCTGGATAAAGTGGAGAAGAACAAACTCCGATTTTATTGCCATCTGTGCCCGTTCGAGAGATTCACTCCCTCTATTGGTCTTAACCTTTTTTTAAAAAAAAATGTATTACAGGTACATATATAGCGCTGTCAATTTAAGCAGCACTTTACATATATAGTACATTTACATCAGTCCCTGCCCTTAAGGGGCTTGTCTAAGATGCCTAAATCACATTTATACATGCACATACTAAGGCCAATTTATATAGGAGAGCCAATTAACCTACCAGCACGTCTTTGTGCCTGTGCGGGTTTCCTCCCACACTCCAACTTGCAAATTATGTGCAGGTAGTGAAATTAAAATTAAAAAAAAAAAAAATTCCAAATTTTGAGTATACCTCCCAGCAAGAATAAAGCGGAAATCTTGCTATGAGACACTAGTTCAGGTAACACCCCAGGATTCTCTCACTTTGAAAGTATTTCCTCTCACTTACTGTTTTGGAAACAGGACAGGAAGTGAAGGATAGTCCCCACAATGGGACAGACAGCAGAAAATGTGGTACGTTATAAACCTCCCTTAAGCTATCCAAAATGGGAAAAAAGCTTTGCCTTTAGTGACACTTTAAACCTATTAGGCAAAAAAAGTAAATTTTGAGACCAGCAAAATAAATTACATAGACCATCATTGCTGGCTTTGTTGTTGCTTAACTGTTTAATATTTCTTAGTCACAGAAAAAAGCACCTTCTTAATTCTATATACTTGCTCAGCTCACTATAAACTGTAAAGGGTTTGCAAGGAAAAAAAGGCAAGTATCTTGTTGCATCTCTCCTGAAATTAAACCTTCCAGCTCAGATTTGTTACATCAAGTTCTACATTAACAAAAAGGTGTACTTAAATACATAATATATAGTGAAGAGCTTTTATATATCTGCCGTTTAGTTTACACTAGCAACTTTAAGCTTTTCTGTAATAAGGTCCCGAGACAGATTGTGTAACAAGGCAGTATATACACGCTATGAAATTTCATGAGAATTTAGTTCAGGTATGCAAGAGAATACCCAATACTATATTTTGAAATGTTTACAAGCATGCATGTCTGGTTATACTTCAGTATCAACTATACAGCTTTAAAGTGGTTGTAAAGCCTTGGTTTTTTTACCCTAATGCATTTAGGCAAAAAATCCCCATGTGCCTCGGATCCCCCAGCCTCCTCTTATACTTACTTGAGCCCCATCACAAACCAGTGCAATGCATGAGAGCAGTGGTACATGTGGCTCTGTCCTTTCTCACAGAGAAAATCGATAGTGAGAGCAACTGGCTCCTGCTGCTAAACTCAGGGAGTGGGCTGTGCTCCACTGTCCCATATGTCTATGGAAACAGGCAGCATGGCGCAGGAGCAGGCCCCTATGGGAAGCAGCTTCCTATGGGGCACTGAATGAAGAGGAGTCAGGGGAACCCAGAAGACTATAGGAGCTGCTCTGTGCCAAATCATTTCTCAGAGCAGGTATGCCATGTTTATTATTTAAAAAAAAAAAAAAAAAAACCCTCTAAGCTTTACAATCACTTTAATATAAAATGTTTAACAATTACAGACAACTAGCCTTTATCTGCCAACATTGTAAGCACAACCTGATAAACTATGTTGGATAGCAGAGATTCGAAGAAAAAAAAAAAAAAAAAAAAGAAAATGTAAACAAACTAAACAAAAAACCCCAGACCAGTGTCTTTTTTACCTCTATACATAATATTGTATTTTGCTACTGGCCTTACCTCCAGCATTACCACACAGATCTGCTTGACACAGTCTATGATGGACTGAGGAATACCGGCAATAGTGATTGCACGTTCTGTGGAGTTCGGCAGCATATCCCCTGCAACCTGGACCTGTGCACCTGTACTCTGGGAAAACAAACAGGATTGTTGTTGGCAGAAAGTCAAACACATGAAAACCACAGTCTTCTGACAGTTACATTCACACATCTGCAGTTGCATGTTTATAAACTGCTAACACTACCAAGCAAACAGTTTACACAGGACCCAGATTTAGAGTAAATTGTAATCTACCGCAGTCTTTATGCAGCCTTGCACATGTGGTGTGGAAGGTGGTTCCTGAAGAATTTGAGTATTGACAATTGTATACATAGGACTGCATGTGAAAGACTGCAAAAAGCCCACAATAAGTGGTGAAATCACTCCTACATTACAAACGACAAAAATAATTTGTGAGCAAAGGCTATGCGCCTTCCATGCATTTCAAGGTTCAACAGGATAACGTTTTGTTCAAAGCACTTTCGGTGACCGAATTACTTGAATACGGGGCTTCTTTATCCTTTAATACTTGGCCCATGTTCCAGTTTAAACTGCTGCCACATTTGCTGCCCAGGTTCCATGCTGCAGGATGACTTCATTTGCAGCATCCTATGGAGCCATCCTTAAACACAGGACAAGAGTTATGTCTCCCTACACTGTGCGCATCAACAGAAAACAGTCCCATAGTCTAGGATGGCAAGGTACTCCCCTGCTTTTCCCTCTTCTCCAAAACAGACTCATTCAAGACTGCACTGTCCACTATTAACTTCCCTGTGAATACCAGAAGTTCAGGGAGGCAGAACTAAGCAGGGGGCCGGTAACCAGTTTGTGTAAGTTGTAAACGGCAAGGACTGGGGTAAGAGTTAACCTTTACTGGGGAAAATTTTCAATGGGTTCATGCTGAAGGCTCCTGGTCCTTTAGGGGTTTCTGATCACCGTGATCAGCGGTCACGATTGGAAAGTTACATGCGATCAGGAGTGCACGCTCTCTGCACAGGTTTATTTACATTTAGGTACACATATATGTGGCCTCTCGGCATCAAGACCCACCCGCCAAGACGCTGCATATATGCATACTCTCAGCATGAAGAGGTTAAGCTATAAATACAAAAAAAAAAAAAAAAAAAAAAAAAGAAAAAAGAAAAGCTGAAGGTTTACTACCAATTTAAACATCAGGTTTGATTTTGCCTCTTAACAGTACAATTTACATACTCACCTCCCTGATTTCCTTTATTTTACAACCTCCTTTGCCAATGAGTGATCCACACTGGCTTGCAGGAACCACTAGACGCAGCGTAACAGGTGGTTTGCTGGAGGCAGTGCTGTTTGTCATTGAGCTGCTGATATCCTATGAAACATGTAGAAGACATTAAAGCAAAAGTAAAGCCATATTTACCCCATCTGTAGCAAATCATATGCCCACTTAATACAACTCAACATTATAGCTCTGCTGTTCTGGCAGTTCTAATACAGCAATTCTGGCATGGGTAAGGCAACACTGCCTTTATACAGCTATAAAAATACTGAGCATAGTTATAAGCCTTTAGACACCAAGATTAACTGTTACCTCTTCCAGTTTGTCAATTATCATTGAAAAGGCTTTGAAGATGGCATTTGTTGGACCAGCTAAGGTGATAATTCTTTCTGGGCAATTGCCTTCTGAGATGTTAATACGAGCACCACTCTAGAGAGAAGGAGAAAAAATATAAAGGAGGGAAAACAGCATGCATTGCATAGACCTCTCTGGCACAGGAGGCCGTTCTAGAACAGGAAGTCTCCTTTGCTTAATTTACATCACTTGACAATTGTCAAAAATCTAAGCAATGAAGGGGGGTAGATTTTAATGACCTGATACACTAAGTTCCAAACAAAAACTATGAAATCTAAGCAGCGGCTCAAAAGGGCAACAGCTCATGTCCTCTAACATTCGAGAAAGCTCTAGATTAGCAATCCTGCTGGATCACAACACTCACTTCTTTATCTACATTCTAAGCTTCATGAAGTACATTTAGGACGACCTTTAACTAAAAAGGTTTTAGTGCAGAGTTACAGGAAAAAAGTATTGAAAAAAAAAAGGCCAAAATTTCCACAGTAAAGCACACTACTGCTTTCAACCAGAATGTGGTCTTGGCCGAGCCCTCAACCAGTCTAGGGTACAGGAGCTGGCTAAACTGTAGCAAGCAATTATATGGTATGTAATCTCACCTACAGCTAAAAAGGCGTTAAGTGACTGACCAGGTTTTCAATTGTATGGGTTAGTTAGAGGAGAGGATCGACATCAGTCAAATCCCAGACAGCCAATTGCCTTACAAGTTCATAGCTGGACTCTTAACATGTTACTTGGCTCTTAATTGGCTACATTTGCAGTCCCCTGAAGAGGATTAATACCATTAACTCAGTTTTTCAAGGTGACAGAGAAGCCAATATATTTAATATAAAACAGCCCCAAAACATTAACAAAAGTGAAAGAATAAAGGTCCAACCTCTTCACGCATCTTTTTAACAGATTCTCCTTTCTTTCCAATGATACTACCAACTTCCTAAAAAGAAAAAAAAAAAAAAAAAAAGTTTACTTTTGTTGACGTCTAAAGCATCTTAGGTCACAACAGTCTCAAAAAAAAAAATAATCCACCACTCCAAAACACAATTGTGTTCATAACTCACAGTGGCTTTGGGATGTTCACAAAGTTATCTGCAATTGTGTAAAAGAGGTGCTCACCCCAATAGTCTTGTAATGTAAACTTCTTCTAAGCCTACCTCCTGAATCCTCTCAAGCAACAGCCCTTTTCCCCACCATATCTTGTCCTTACAGACATGCTTTGTTACCGTTAAGGAGCAGTGCCTCTGCGTCCTTAACAACCGATGATTCAGTCAGCTGTTAGCAGGGTTTCCTTGATGGCAGCTGAAGTGTAAAGTAGTCCCAGCAATTGGAACTGTCAAAAAAACAGGCTGACAATGTTTATCAACAATGCTCAGTCAAACAAACATGGTTTAATTTCCCATCTTTCCTTTATTCATCTACAGATCAAAGGGATGGACTTCAATATGCAGATTAAGTCAGTCCTAATTAACTTTTTATTCTCCATTTTTATTATTCCTAATTATTTTTGTTCATTTCTATTTTATAAACTATTAAAACTTTGTTTTGTTTGCTTTGTTCATTAAAGTGGAGCTCCAGTCAAACCTACAATAAATAAAAGGCAGCAATCACACAAACTGAAGCTGTTGACTTTTAAAGCAGCCAGTCACCTTTCCTACGATCCAGCAGTGTCCTCACTGAAGCCTCTTTCACCGCATATGGGCACCCAGCTGTGACAGCTTCCGGCTTCAAAGCTGGGTGCCCACTGAGCATGTGTGAATAGCGCTGCCACTTTTGAATGACCCCGCAGTCTTCTGGGACCGGTCACATGTTCGAGAAGACTACGGGGAGGACAGCTTCTGCTTCCAATCGCCTAGACAATTGCAGTGAAAGTGGGAGCGGATACCTGTCAAAATCAGGTACCCGTTAACCACACCCTCCGCTTCCAAAGGTGCCAATCCTTAATGGGGAGCAGGGAGGGGACGAGGCCTTAAAGTGCAGAACAAATTACAGAATAAAAAAACGTGCACTTTTCATGTGCAGTAACACTCTGTCCAAATCATGCAGCCTCAACATCTCCAGAATATGCCCCTTTTTAACCACTGATACCACAAAGCTCCTAATTCACTCCCTGGTCATCTCTCGCCTCGACTACTGCAACTCCCTCATTGGCTTACCTTTACATAGGCTATCCCCCCTCCAGTCCATCATGAATACTGCTGCTAGGCTCATCCACCTTACCAACCGTTCAGTGTCTGCCACCCCTCTCTGCCAATCCCTCCACTGGCTTCCACTCGCCCAACGAATAGAATTCAAAATACTAACAATTTGCAAAGCCATCTACAACTCTGCCCTCAGCTATATCACTAATCTGATCTCAAAATATCTACCAAACCGCACTCTTCAATCCTCCCAAGACCTTCTGCTTTTTAGTTCCCATGCCTGCCTCTAGGACTTCTCCCATCCCATTGAACTCCCTACCCCAATCTGTCCAATTATCTTCAAATCTATCCACCTTTAGACAATCCCTGAAAACCGTTCTCTTTCAAGAAGCCTATCCTGCTTGCAACTAGTAAACTGGCTTTTATTTCCTGCATCAGCTCATCCCCCCCACAGCTATTACCTTTTGTATCACTCAACCCTTCCTCCTAGATTGTAAGCTCTAACAAGCAGGGCCCTCTGTTTCCTCTTGTAGCAAAAATTGTATTGCAATTTTAATGTCTACCTTCATTTTGTAAAGCGCTGCATGAACTGTTGGCGCTATATAAATCCTGTGTAATATAATAATCACCGAACAGGTCTATAGGAGAAATGTAAAAATTGCTCTGGTGCATAAGAGGTGAAAAGGTGGGGGAGAGGTTGAGGTGCCTGGCTGTCCTTAACTGATCACTCATTCAGCTGTAAGCAGGGTTCCTGCAAGACAGTTGCTGGGAGGTATTGGTAAACTGGTATCAGTGAGGGGGGAAAAAAAAAAAAAAAAAAAAAAAAAAAAGTATTGATACGCTTACGCGCGAACACAAAATTGTATCGGTGCATTCCGATTAGATATTAAGGCTGCTTTCACACGATCTGTTTTTCTTACACTTTTGCGTTAAAAAAAAAAAAAAAACCGCTGTACAATGTAATCCTATGGAGCTCGTCACACCGGTTTTTTGTTTAATAAATCTTGCTTGCTGCATTTTTGGTGCAGTTTTTCAGTCACATGTCCAGTAAAAAAAAAAAAGCACCTCAAACAAAAAGTAAAAAAAGTGTGAATGTAGCCTAAAGCTTTTCTAAATGAATTTCCTTCTGTTACCTTCTGGCTAAAACCAGCAATATTGCCCTGCTCTGTAAGATTACTTTCAACAGCTATTAAGGATACTCTTCTGATGCTAGGCTTAGCCCAGATGTCAGGATCCTACAAACTGAACTAGAGGCACACTGGAGGCTTTTAGAGCCGAAAGTATCTTGGAAGGTCTGAGAGCTTTATTTTATAACAAAACCCTAAATACACACTACAATGGTTAGATTCATACTTGCCTTGCCATGCATCAGGAGTCTGATGGTGAGGGTAACATTCAGGCCTCCTTCAATAACACCGGTATCCATAGTGAAACTAGTTCTGGTAGATCAGGGCAATAGTCAGAAGATGTAAAGGTAGTCTTTGGTCACAAGTTAAGACAAGACTATAAGAAAAAAAAAAAAAAAAAATTAGAAAAAGCCATTGCAGTAAAGAAAAATGACTACATTCATCAACACTAAAGCCACAGTAATCTAGCTATGAATGCCCATCATTGCACCTGGTCATTAATAAAAAAACAGACAATTATTTACTTTGTAAATGTAGGGTGTGTTGCATTAGCACTGAGTTTAAAGTCCAACTCTGGGCACAATCGCCTTCAAAGGTTTACAGAAGCAAAACATTCCTCTTCCCTGCAAATCAGTTTATATGCCAGGATTAGGGAGTCGGAATTCCTGGCAATTCCAGAAGAGCTGCAGGTCCCCGACCCGAGTTCTGCAGTCAGGCCCCCGACCCGAGTTCTGCAGTCAGGCCCCCGACCCGAGTTCTGCAGTCAGGCCCCCGACCCCCAGTTCTGCAGTCAGGCCCCCGACCCGACCCAAGTTCTGCAGTCAGGCCCCCCAAGACCCGAGTTCTGCAGTCAGGCCCCCGACCCGAGTTCTGCAGTCAGGGCCCCCGACCCGAGTTCTGCAGTCAGGCCCCCGACCCGAGTTCTGCAGTCAGGCCCCCGACCCGAGTTCTGCAGTCAGGCCCCCGACCCGAGTTCTGCAGTCAGGCCCCCGACCCGAGTTCTGCAGTCAGGCCCCCGACCCGAGTTCTGCAGTCAGGCCCCCGACCCGAGTTCTGCAGTCAGGTCTCCGCCCCCAGACCCGAGTTCTGCAGTCAGGCCCCCCCGACTCCGAGTTCTGCAGTCAGGCCCCCCACCCGAGTTCTGCAGTCAGGCCCCCGACCCGAGTTCTGCAGTCAGGCCCCCGACCCGAGTTCTGCAGTCAGGTCCCCGACCCGAGTTCTGCAGTCAGGTCCCCGACCCGAGTTCTGCAGTCAGGTCCCCGACCCGAGTTCTGCAGTGCAGTCAGGTCCCCGACCCGAGTTCTGCAGTCAGGTCTCCGACCCCGACCCGACCCAAGTTCTGCAGTCAGGTCCCCGACCCGAGTTCTGCAGTCAGGTCCCCGACCCGAGTTCTGCAGTCAGGTCCCCGACCCGAGTTCTGCAGTCAGGTCCCCGACCCGAGTTCTGCAGTCAGGTCTCCGTCAGGGACCCCCAAGTTCTGCAGTCAGGTCCCCCGACCCGAGTTCTGCAGTCAGGTCCCCGACCCGAGTTCTGCAGTCAGGTCTCCGACCCGAGTTCTGCAGTCAGGTCTCCGACCCGAGTTCTGCAGTCAGGTCTCCGACCCGAGTTCTGCAGTCAGGTCTCCACCACCCCCATTATAGACCACTCAATCACAGCCAATAGCTTCACTTTGTGAACAGGCAGAAGAGTGAGCAGAGACTAGACATTATCTGGGGTATGAAATGTTGTGGAGAAGCCAAAAGTAAAGTGTAAATCACAGCATGTAAAACAAACACAACTTATCTTACATAAGCATTGTGTTGAAATTTTAGTTCACTGGCTGTCATGCCAACCAAAAGCTTCAATACTTTATCATTTACCAGCAAAGTATGTCAAGAGGTCGCCTTCACATACTGCTGACAAACATCTAAACAGCCAGCATTTCTTCATGCTGCCCAAAAGCATTGCATTATTCCCACACTGCTGATGCTATAACCAATGCCGGCCATGTGCTCGCACTGTTCCAAGTAGGCAAAATCATGTCTTCCCCACCTACTTTTTGCACCTTTATCTTTGTCCCTACCCCAAAATAATCCATCCAACCCTCACATTAGTCCAAGGACTACTATATTAAAAAGGGGTGCCATTACATGTGCTCATTCTGCCTACATTTTTCCAACACAGCTTTTTTTTGCCACCCAAATCTTCACTGTCTAATGTGTTATGTCATAATTAAATATGTAAACCCAACATTTCATATAACTGATATGTGCCTGCTGTACCATGTACTTGCAAGTAAAAGCATCCAGTTCTCTTTATATTGCTTCCTTTGTGTGAAATCCCTGGTGCTCCTGCCAGTCCCCCTATATTTCTATAAACTGACCACATTAAGGAGGAAAACACACAATGGTCAATTCTCTAGCTGTGCTGCGAACTCCATGTGCTCTAGTCCAATGATCAGTCTTGTCCTGATCAACCCTCTGATCTTCCCAGTGAATGGTTGTACAGAGTTCTGTTACTTCTCACCCCAGCTCTGAAGCGGAGAACAGAGGGAATGTGGTCACTTGCAAAAAGGGGGGAAAAAAAAAAAAAAAAAAGGATTTAATTTTTTTTATATCTATACACGTTTTGCCTTTCATTTCTATTTTAAACTGAATAAAGTTATTGTAAAATAACCCAATAAATTTAAGATGTGATGTAGGCAATATGCCACACACTGATACAGACAGCTGTCACAGGTTGTACACCTATAAAAGAAAAAAAATTTGTGGAATTAAAGCCTGCCTCAAGTTGGCAGTCCTTTTTTCAGGGCCATTCCAAGGCAGACCCCAGAAACTAGCTACATCAGAAAACAATGCAATGTTAAGGTGGCTTATAACGATCCTACTAAAGGTAGCCTTTATCTAGATCTCACCCCAACTGGGATGAAACCAACATTTAATCCTGGTTCACAAAAATGCACGTTAACCCACAGAAATGTAAAACAGAAAAATCAAATACTTTAGCTCTGTAGACATTTATTATTCCTGATAGGTGTCTGTTCTACAATATACAGTTTTAAAGTATCCTCTTCTTTGTATTGCTTCCCTTGTGCAAAATACCTAGTGATCCTGCCAGTCCCCTGCTTATATATATATATATTTCATAAATTTCAATTCCTGGACAATTGAAAAGATATGATAGATCTCATGTTGACTGTACAGATATTGGTCAGATCATGAATGTTATGGTGAGCCTAACAAAATGGCTAGTTTTTTTAACCTTACCTAAAAACACCCCTGTGGCTTTTTTTTTTTTTTTTTTTTTATTACGTTGACAGTTTTATTAAACAGAGGTACATGAAGATTTGTGTATATCATCTTAATTTGTGGATGAGGGTACCAACATACAAGAAAGTTAAACCTTTTAAGAACATTTGATCCCTTTGACTATGCAGGCACACCACATGTAGTGCACATATTTCAGACTATCCTACTCTTGAAAGAAACCCAAGCTGCTTTTAATGCAGCACTGGAAGCTGCCCAGCTTCTAAGCCACTACATTACAGAATACACAGAGACACTCAATAACAGTATAAAAACAAAATGTCAGTCATAAAACCTGTTTAGTACAGAAAGATCAGAGGCAAGGGCTAATGGGTTACTATGGGTTAACACCCTAATCAATTCCCTACTAATTGGAGCCAGCACTACATGAAACGACTCAAAACTATAATATAGAAGAAAATTGTCAGTACCATAGTACTAAAGCAATAAAGCTACAATATAGGTAACTATTAATGTCTACACATACCTTTAGAAGTCTAGCTAGCATCCCCAGAGCCCAAAACCCAAGAGATCCGAGATTCAAATTTTAACATTTCCTAGTACAGTCAAGAATTCACTTTCTGCCAAAAACCTGTTACTATTGGCTCCTACAGTGATGGGCCAACAGGATCATGCAGGAAGGGGCCGGCTCCAACTACTACCAGAGGAGATACATTGGTATGTTACAGCTTCCCAGGAAATGAAGCAGCAGGCTGCAAAGCAACATTTTAAAGGGGGTGATTCTTTTCTATACCCACTGTAGCGCAGAAGCCTAAGCGACACCATTACAGTAGTGAGAAGTTTTATCGAAAGGCTGGTTCACACCTGAATAGCACAGAAATGTGGTACACATTGCTGTGCGATTCAGCGAAGCGTGAAAATTAACTGGATCTCACCAAGTGCATGCACTACTTCCAAAAGCACACTGCAGTGCCATGCAATCTTATCTAGGCAAACACACTGCATTTGCAATCTGCATTTAGAGCATCATTAGCAATATATTGACACTGACAGCAGATCACACCCCTGGTATAATTTGAATGCAGTGCAGGAAACTCGCATGGAACATAGGTTTCCTATACCGCATTCTTGTGTGAACGTGCCCTAAAACAAAAAGACATAGCAAAAAAGTAAACATAAGAAGGGAGAAAGAAATTAACAAGTTTAACAATTCTCAGCACAGAATGTTCAGAAATACTACAAAGTAGCAGATTACATTCTCCAGAAGCACTGCTGACAAAGAAAACAGAGCAAGCCTTGTTTGCTGCTGTATAGCTAGGAGACACAATACACAAAAATCAGACCTGACTAAAAGATGAACTTTTTATCCAAGAGTGATCGTTTTATCAGGATTATTTTACCTAAACCAGTACTGCACAGGGAAGGTCAACAGGGTTGTCTTGGTACCTGAACCAATAAAACAGCCATAGTATATTGTGGATTACACTCATTCAACTGAATGTTTAAAGCTGAAGTCCTTTCCAGAAGAGGGAACCACTAATCCAGAGCTGCAGATGTGCCCACACAGGCCAGTCTCCTACAGTCCCTTTATTTCTTCTCTTCTGACATCTAAGAAAACTGCTGGAGAGCCAATGAAAAAGCCAATGTCATGCAGGCAGTGATGTGGGCATCCAAAGAATGACCTTGCCTCATGTAAACAGGAAAGAAAACGCAGAATGGAGTGCCACATGAAATGTTTTTAGGCATGTAAAAGCCATTTAGTTTTTTTATTTCATGCCAGCCATGAATTTAAGGTGTTGCGCATAAAATATCCTGCTTGCTACATCCCTTATGTATATTCATCAATGATATGCATTATACATAGTTCAATGGGAAGGTACCCAAAATGCACCGCACAGGTGTGACCATATCCTTAGCAGGGTGGGAATGATGGGGTTCAGGTTTTGCCCAGAGCTGGGCTTCAAGAATCTCAAAGCATTCCCACAATATTCCATGACATCAACCAATCAACATTTTTTGGAAAGCAAACTTTGAAACTTGTTAAAAATTGTTTT